GAGGGGGCAGGGCGGCTCTGGGGCAGGGTATGAAATGCGACTTTACAAAATGTGTAGTTTATTTGCAATTTTTTAGCCAACGAGAGGTTTACTTTTCTGTTTTGTTTCTGTGCCACCTCTTAGCCGACCCCTCTGGCCGTGCCCCTGCCTGCTGCCGTTCCACCCCCCCCCCCCCCCCCCCCCCCTGTTTTCCAGCCCCAAAATTTCACTCTGTCTGATTCTGCATGTGGAATTTCGTTATCGCACGGCTTGCAGCAGCAGCAGCAGCAGCTGCATCAGTTGCAATAAAATCAGTGGCCAAAGGTTGCAGCATCTGAGGTCAGCACTCACACAGGACCTCCTCTTTCCCCCATATGTGTGTGGGTGTGTGTGTGTGTGTGTGTGTGTCTGTGTGTGTGCTTGTTAAATAGAGAACATTTGCAATGAAAATTTGCGCAGGGAAAATTTGAAAATTGTCCGTTTTGTTTGTGTTTCTTTTTCTCGCATTTCTCCCCCATACCCTGCCCCTTCTGGCCCCCCCTGTGCCTTTGGTATTTGCGTATTTGGAAGGGGGCGGAAAACAGTTATCCGATTTGCATTTAAAAGGTGTGTTGTTCAAGGATCCAAAAGGAAACCAGGTTCATGGGGGGCACAGGACATGCCACAAACAGCCTAAAGGACACACACAGACCCACAGAGAGCGGCAGAGGGAGAGGGAGAGAGGGAAATGGAGAAAGATTTCGAGTTAATTTGGAGATAATTGAGAGAGAATCAGCAAACATGCAACTGATTTCAACAAATATTCCCACAATCTGCAGGGTATCGCCCCCTCCCCCCCCAATCGCCACAGGATGGAAAATGGCCAACACTACTCTGAAAACTAAACAACAACCGACAATGGGAAAGCAACGAAAAAAGGCCAGAGGGAGGAGAGTGGGGAGAGGGGGGATTGTGTCTCTAACTGTAAAATGAAAAGAGGCAGAAATGCTGCTGCAAATGTGGCATGGAATGCTATGTGGCAGGCTCAAATAAAAATGTTGAATGCCGCCGCTGCCGATGCTGCTGTTGTGGCAACATGAAATTGGCCTGGCAGCTGGGTCATAAATTTCTATATATCCCAGTGAAAAAAAAAAGCACACACACAGATACACAATACTCTACATATATATATATAGAGAGAGAGAGAGAGAGAGAGAGAGAAAGAGACAGGAGCTACGCATGCAACTATTAATCATATTGAATGGCTCTGCCCCCTGCCCCCAGCCCCTGCCGCCTGCCCCTGACGCCCCCACTGGCTCCGTTATGGGGTTTTGTGTCTGCCAGAGTTCCAGCTAATCAATCTTTTCCAGCAGCAATCTCTTCCCGTCTCCATCCCCATCCCCGTCCCCGTCCCTTATCCGGGCGGAAGAAAAATGGCCGCTAAAGTCATTAACGCCTCGCTGGTCACCTGGACAGCAGGAAGGAGGAGAAGGAGGAGGAGCCGGAAGGGCAGTCAAGGGACTTGGGTCTAAGCCGCCAGGTTTGCCATTTTGCTATTTTGTTTATGGCCATAGCGCAAATCTCTATATAGGACCCAGGACCCAGGGCCCAGGGCCCTCCCCCTGCGGGTGGGTGCTGCTGCTGCTGCTCTGCTCTGCTGCCCAATGAGGCGGCAGGCGAAAGCCAAAAGGGGATTAGTTGTAATCAATAACTTGGGCAAGTGTGTGTTGAGGTTGAGGTCCTGCCGCTGCTGCTGGTGGGTTCCGTATCCTCTGGCTGGTTCTTGGGCTTCTGTTTTGTTTGCCTTGTCGAAAGTTTTTGCACAGCTTATGGCCGGGCTTATACACAGCACTTCCACACCCCCAACCCTCAACCCCCACCCTTAACCATTTCCCAGGCCAAGTTATTATTATAATTTTCTTTGCCAATGCGGATTAATTGAAAAGTTTTCCATTAAGAGTTTTGCGCGCTTGGTTAAATCGCCAGCCGCCAGCCGTAAGGCAGCCTTTTGTTTCCACCTTTTGCCGCCGCCGCCGCCGCCACCGCTGCCACCGCCGCCTTTGTGCCACCAGAAGAGGTCCTGCCATTAGCATTACCTTGAATTTCAATATGTACACTCGTACAGCGCACTCGCATCGAAGGATATACATATATACGTGTGTATGTCCTGCCTGGTGCTCACTATTTTTGATCGTTATGGATTTTGACAGTTTTCCACTCTCGGGGGCTGCGATGAAAATTACTTAAAAGCATTTCGCTTCTCAGCCGCTGATTTGATTGATGGCCGTTTATGGGCACCCTCTCCCCCTGTCCCTCCCCCTCTCTCTCACACCCACTCTCCATCTTTTTCGTCATTATATTCGCATTATCAAGTGGGGAGTGGGGAGTGGGGTATGGGGAGAGCAAAGTTGTTTCCACACGGTGTGGCGGCAATGAACCATTGCAAATGGCAGTTGACGTCTTTGCGGTGAAGAGCTGACAAAAAGTTGCGCCAATTTATGTCAATTATCGGCAGCTTTACCTGCCCCAAGACCCAAGTGCCACTCCGCCCACAGAGGCGTTGAATTTCATTTTATAGGGGGGGGGGCGGGGGTGGTGTAAATCTCATCAGGAAAGCCAAGGTACGGGGTGGGGGGGTGGAAATCCTATCTCCTGAAAGCGAGCGACTGCGTAACGTGGGAATCTCTTGATGACAGCAGCAGGGCAGTGGGGGTGGGGGGCGGTGGGGGGCGGGTAATTTGCTTGGAAAAATAAATAATGGCATTTTTAGTTGTCATACGATATAGCCATCGCCTCGATGTTTCCTTTCCGGGTTTTCCTCTTTGCCATTCATTGAAATTTGTCATGGTTCGATGGGAAATACGAGAAGGTCCAAGGAGTAGCATTTTTCAAGGGAATTCCATAATTAAGGGTGGGCGGGGGTACCCCTTTTCAAGAGGGATGCACCAGATATTCGCTAAACATCATAGATACCGATTCGTTGTAATTCCTTGAGGGGAATATCCTCTCTTCATATCTTCTGGCATCCTTCTTGAGAAGATTGAGTGTTCCCTCATCCTGCACAGCGTTTACTGCTCTCAAAGATACCTCCTGTACTCCGACCATATCTCGGATTTCTCTTGAAATCTATTATCCCCCCTCCGCCCCTCCACGGTTCTTTCGATGGCTGCAAAAAGATGAAAGCGGAGAACCCACACCTGCACAATACCCTCCAACCATCGGACCATTTAAATCTTAAACTCTTTTTCAATGGATTTCTGCGTGCTCTTGAAGCTCATTCTCCTCCTACCCCTTCTCCGCCCCCCCATCGTTAATGAAAATGCCCGTTTGGCTTTCTGTGTCCCCCCCCCCCTTCCCGCCCCAGACCATGGGATCTAGAGGGGCTATGCCGCTCATTAAAATCGGGGAAAAACCAAACCAAAGGAACGACGGACCATCGACGGTACGGAACGAGAACGCGTCTAACAAATCGATTTTCGTTTAGTATCGTAATCAACAACACAAAATTTTTGTTCTCGTGCTAAAAATTTGTGTTTTTGCGCTATAACAAGTCTGGTGGGGAGGGGAGGAGCTTCCATCGAACCGAACCGAAACCGAACCGAACCTGTACTCCCCCCCCCCCCCCCCCCCCCCCCCCCCCTCCGTCTGTGCCATGGAACCCTTCCTCCCCTGTACCATGGAACCCCTATGTAGCCCCTCTTATGCTCTCCACTTCTGGGCCTTTGCCTAACATGGCTGAATGGAGGAGGAACTTAAAGAGCACTCGAACAGCACTCAGCCGCAAAACACACACACACACACACCAACACACTCGATATGCATATGTGTATGTGTGTGGGGGTTTAAGTGGAGTTGCTGCCGCTGCAGGTGGGGCAGGGACCCCTCCTCCTCCGCCTCCACCTCCACCTCCACCTCCACCTGTGCTTCTGCAGTACTTGTCAAGATTGAATTTGGTAGGAAATTTTTCCTTTTTTGGTAGATGTTTTTTCTCTTTCATTCGTTTTTTTTTGGCTTGATGGGCGGAGGTGGTGGAGGTGTACCTTTGCTTTCATTTCTCTTTCTTTCTTTTTTGGCGTTTTTTTTTTTTTCTTTTTTTGGCGTTTTTATTGATCAAACAAAACGTAGCAAGTGGCAGCCAGTGAAGGTGTCATTGCTGTGCCTCTCCTAAGCCCCCGTGCCCCGTGCCCCGTGCCCCACCTGACAGAACTGCCAGAATCAGCCAAGAGCTAGAGAAATATATATATGTATGTGTGTATATAGGAGAGTGTGTGGTTGGGCCTTGCCTTGCGGAATAGATTGCATGATTTGTTCCACAACTGTCATTCACATTTCGTTTTATGATTATTATTTTTCTTCAATTCATTTAGCATTCGCTGGCAGGCCAGGCACGAGTATATCTATGTATCTGTGATGATTCAGATATTACATACAAAGCTATGTAAATTCAAATGGAAAAGAGGAACAACTTCCAGGCAAGATCTTCATTCAGAGCTGGCAAATAACCAGTAAATATGCCTGGTATGTCTGTTTGTATGTAATCACTTTCGACTTTTAAATATTATCCGTTCTTTTGCACATTCGATGCTGTTTTTTTTCGTACATAATTTACCTTTTGCTTTTATGTGTTTTTCGCGAACAGAGAGGCTTCCAACGTGCAGGCACAGACATGCTCGCGATCGGTACGGCTGCTTTCACACACACGAACACAATAAAAAAAACAACAAAAAAAAAGAACGATTCACTTCTTGGGCTCTGCTGGCGCAGACACTTGTTCTCGTTGTTGTTTGTCTCGGTCGTGGGCTCGTTCCGATCAACCGAAAGCACGAGGGCGGACGAACGCAGCAACGAAGGGAACACAAGCGAAGACTGAAAATGTGTGCGCGGGTCAGTGAGAGATCGGGTGTGCTCGTGTAGCTGTGCTTTTATCGATCGAGGCGCATACCCGTATGTGCTCGTATATGTATGTCGCTTTCGGTCATTAAAATATGTACATAGATAGATGTGTGTATATAGATAGATGGATGGATGGAACTCCCACTTACCGGACCAAACTGTTCGAAATAACTCTTGACGTCCTCCAGGGTGGTGGGTGCCGAGAGGCCGCCCACAAAGATTTTCTTCGTTCTCGTCACCATCTGGAATGCACAAAAGCAAGAAGGAAGAGAGGGGGTTAGATTCATGAGAATAGTGTTAAGAAACGAACGTCGTTTGCTGGCCGAAAAGGTTAGGTGGTATGGCCTGCTCTGGCATTTAAATATGCATTTTATATTGGGGTTACGCAAAAGTTATGACCCCTTCAACCCCCTGTCTCCCGTCGCCGCTCGCCTGCGCCGTCTCGGGCACTGCCTCCTCAGATGTTGAGTTTCGACTTTCCTTTCGTGCAGCCCCCCCCTGCAGCCCCCCCCCTGCAGCTCCTCCTGTAACTTATGGGCTACCCAACTTTCGCTATGAGTCGTTCGACCATTTTGTGCATTTTATGTACTACATGCAAGTGCTCTGTCTCCCTCTCTCCCTCTCTCACTCTCCCACTCTCCCTCTCTGTCTCTCTTGCACTGTGTGCAGCTGGCATTTTTAAGCTGACATTTTCAAGTGCCAACTTTACGCAGTTAGCGCCGCATGCAGCATGCCCCATGCAGCAGCAGCAGCAGCAGCAGCGGCAGCAAGAGGAGAAACAGTCGAGCGTCGAGCACCGAAAATGATGGCGAGACATGAACGAGAAAGGCAGCAGCCTCTCTATCCCTCCATCCCTCCATCCCTCTTTTTCTCCATCCCTCTTTGCCTGTGTGCGTGTGCGTGTGTGTGTGTAGTGCAACGCCAGCCTTTTTAGCCCGCAGGCAAGCGTAAACTGTTAACGTTAAGTGATGGCAGTTAAGGCACAGAGTGAACGGCACAGTGGAACCTCTTCGACACCCATTTCTATAGGCAACGAATGCTCCAGACCTTTGGGTTTTACGAATCTATTGATAACCCTCAAGATAGACTATGATTTCTAGAAAAATTCAAAGATTTATTGGTTTATTTGACAATTTTGACCACAAATTGACTTGTTTCAAGTCGAAAATTGCCATAAAAGATGCGTCATATTTATGTAACGATCGTATAATACCGATTTCAATCCTTAAATGTTTTTGCGGCACTGTACTTCGTTTCAGTCAGGACGGCACGGGACGGGACGGGACTAGTTTCCGTAGAACTAACGACCTACGGTGCCAGATCAAGACTTTCCTGCAGAGTTTCTTCCAAAATCATAACGCCCTCTGAAAGGCCATCATAGTTCTTTATAAATTAACCCAAAAAACTTGTCCAAAGTTTTCTGGTGCTCAGCAAATTCTGAACTTTCCCCTAGCCCCTCCCCCCCTCCCCCCAGCCCCGGTGAAAGTGGAGATATCCCCTCTTAAAGTTCATATGGTTAAAGGGATCCCTGGGCCCATGGTGAGCGTACGAGCCCTCGGATGAAGCCGGATGAAGCTGATGACGCTGATTGCACTGACGCTTGCAACAAGCTGCAATTTATGAGCACGGAACAGACAACAGACCCACACATACAGAGGAGGCAGCAGCAGCAGCAAGGATGAAGGGAGTTAAGGATCAGCGCCACCAGCGAAAGAGGTGAACGGGGGGGGAAGGGGGGAAACGAGGGGGATATGTCCGTTAAGGAAGCTAACGATATGTAACAGCGGTGCTGATGCTTTCTGCAGTGCCAGCAGTAAAATTCATACAATGTCGTAAAATTAAAACACTTGTGCTGCTCCCCCACTCTTCCCCCCCCATCCCCCCAGTCACCAGAGAGAGAGAGAGAGAGTGGGAGTGGGAGTGGGAGTGGCAGTGGGTGTGGGAGAGGGACAGCGATTGCAACTACAAAGTTAGTCGTGCAGCTTTTTGGCAAAGGCAAATCGCTTTGGCCCGTTGAGTCCTCCTGTGTCTCAGTCTCAGTCGCAGTCTCAGTCTCAGTCATCGTCTCATCGTCTACTCGTTGTTCGTTGTCTACTCCTGGCTCTCAGATATCCTTGCCACTTCCTCCTGGCTTCCCCAGATACATATATCCCTCCTGCAGGCTCCTCATTTTCTCCCTTTTTTTTACTCTGCACTTTGCGGCAGGTTAAGTTTTGGGGGTTGGAAGGGCGGCGAGGCGGTTGCCATCACCGCGGGCGGGCCCTCTAACAATTTGCAACAGCACAAAAACAGAGACAGAGAGGGAGGGAGTGGGGAGATGGAGAGAGTGGAGAGAGGGAGAGAGTGGAGGGAGAGTAAAGAAGAGGGAGTCAAAATCAAGTTGCAAGCGCCTGCAAGAAAGTAACTGTCTAACAACATGACGTCCGAGACACGGCATCCTGCACCCTGCATCCTGCAACACCACATAATGGTGCAGCATCGCATCATCGCCGGGACAGCCTCCCGGGGTCGGTACTGCCACAAAATGGGTTACGAAAATTGCAGCGTTGTTAAAAAGCGATTCATGCCAGAGAACTGCAGTGGCCAGCACTTTGTGTGCCATGTGTCATGTGGCATGTGGCATGTGGCATGCCAGCCCAAGCCTGGCACTAATCACTCCCACAAATGAAGCTACTTAAACTAATAAACCGAGAGTGGAACTGGCACTAAGATTGGATCTCGAATCGACGGGTTTTGGGCAGGCCGGGAGCTTCAAGAACTGGAGGTTTTCCGGCGGCAATGTCATCATCAAATATAAATGGCACCCCGGGCACGGGGCATGGGGCAGCGAACACGCCCAATGCTGATAGCGTGGGGTATGAATCAAAAGTAAAACACACCCAGGCCGATCCAAACGCGACCTCAAGACAAATACACGCACCGCACACCCACCCACACAAACACAAAGAGAGACACAGCACGGCCTATAGCTATAGATACGGCTACAACTATAGATACAGCCACAGATACAGCTATAGATACAGATACAGATACAGCTACAGCTATGGCAAGATACAAATGGAGCCGCCGCACACACGCATACTAACGAAGTGACACGGCATTTTAGCGGCAGTGGAGAAGAGATTAGGGAATGTCAATATTAGCCACAACGACTCCGATGAGCAGCCAGGACGGTGGGGTGCGGTGGGGCTCGAGGCAGCGCTAGGAGGAGGTCTTCAAAGGTGGAACCAGCAGACAACCGCCACAATGTTTGATGGTCATGGGGGGGCATGTCTTTGGCCGAATAATGCCTGGAAATTTGACAAATGACGTCAGGAGTGGGCGTGACGCCAGAGAGGCGGAGTGGAGAGTGGAGCAGGACCAGCCGAAGGACAGCAAGCGCCTAGGGGGGCGGTACCGCTGGCTACAATGCAGTTGACAAGAAAGTCACTCGTTGGATGGAGCGATAATGCGAATAGGGAAGGGAGGGCAGGGAGGGGGGCCAAGGAAGCCCAGAGACCAGGAATGACCCATCAATGGGTACGACAAAAGGTAACACGCTTTAAAGGGGATTTTACTCAGGAATTTGGCTAAAATTCCATTTCTGTGGCGGGTTCCCCCCTTGAGATTATTCATATTTTCATTTGGAAAAACTTCCTTCTTCTTGAAGTCCTTGGATTTCCATCTCCGAAACAGGTGAAGCTCTCCTAGACACTCTCAAACGTAATTCAGTTGAATAGAGATTAAAAGATACAATTTTGTAGGTGTTTTTTACGCCCCCCCGCCAATCCTTTGATCTCCCGGAATCAGATAATCTACCAAATGGAATCTCACCACCAGCGAACATCTTGAGCTCCTTGGAAGCTCCATCCTGCCACTTGCCACTTGCCACTTGCCATAATTCCATTTTAATCAGAGGTAAAGTTCTTCGAGGGCATAATGCCCCCTTAGGAGACTCGGGGATAATTAAAGCTGAGCGGATAATACTTTTGTGCGCCTCGGCTTTCCCCTTGAGATACAATTTGTGGTGGCATGCGCTGTCCCTCCCCCGCGCCGAATCACTTGCCCCCAAAACTGATTATTCAATTTAATGAGCCATAGTTGAAATCAAATTGACACTTTATCAGCTCTCTCCCACCGTAGCTTGGTCGGTTTCCACTCCCCTGGTCTATCACGTGGGAAGGGGCACACATATTTCATTTTGACAGAGCTGCCATCGATGGCGGGGCGGAAGGCCATTCCCATCATCTCCTCCATCATCTCCTCGAGACGGGAACGGGGACGGGGACGGAGATGGAGATGGAAAATGGTAAATGGAAAACGCTGAAAGGGACACAGCGTCTGGCTGATGGCTGATGGCTGATGGCTGATGTCTGGTTATATTTGGCGGAGGAAAAGGCCAAATCAATTTAACACTTTCAACTAAATTATTCATTTTGCATAATAATTTTCAAATCTGTCAAAAATTTACACACACACACACACACACACACACACGAACACAAACACTTGAGCTCATTGTTGTAAAGGCTTTTAAAGCAGCATTTCGGCGGTCCTTCAGCGGCGTCTGCACTTTCACACGCTCCGGAATGAGCCCCCAACAAAAGGGTGGCCCGGGATTGGGGGCGCTGCGAAACGCTTCCCAAAAAGCACTCAAATAATTCCCGGGCGTCGGCTAAACCATCGCCAAAGTTGCCGCCGAGCGCGAGGCAGCAGCACAATAGCACAGCAAAACGGAAATTGGGGTAAGGGGTAAGGGATTGTAGGGGTTGGAGATGGGGTGGGATGATTGTAAGGGAATCCTGCCAAGGCGGTGGGGCGCGGTGGGTTGGGCTAAAAAGTAAAACCCTTTAACCGTGCGTAGGCGCCGACGTCCGTCCGTCCGCGAAGCGTCACAAATTCTGTTAAGCGAAAATTTCATCAACGGCAAAGGCACAAAATTTTCATTCGCCATTCAGCCCCCCCCAGTCCCCTAGGCCCCCCGGCCCCCGCCCACACCCTTGCTGGCCCTGCCACGGGCCTGTGCACGGGCTCGTTCGTTGTCAAAATGAAAGGAAAATGTCTCATAAATCCTTTTAATATTAAATGAGCTCGTTCTACGCGACAACCCATTCCAGGCAGCAGCCAGAGGAGCAGGAGGAGCGGAAGCGGGAGCAGGGGGTATGGCATGTGGCATGGGGGGGCATGGGGGGCATGGGGGGCATGGGGCAATGAACACACTTAAAATTATGTGGCTAATGGGAGCAACTTGCCTGGAAATTGC